TATAGCGGAATATTGCTGCTGCTGTGCACAGTGCATAGGCCAATTTTACATAATGTAAAACCTCGCCAGTTGAGAAACTTGTTGGTGTTCTAGCAAAACAAAGAATAGGAGAGCCCATGTGTGCCAACAATGAAGGCCGAACGAATGAGTGGGGAGGGTGTGGCATGCGCAGACAAGCAGAAGACATAGCGGCCAGTCTAGTCTAGACTATCTAGGCCTACCATGCCTCTCACTTCTCCGATGCCGGGATGGAGAGGTCACAGTGGATGGAGCGAATGTGTGACGTGGGCAGGGCGTGGTATTGGTATGTACCCATGTAGGCAAGCAGACGGAACACATCACAGGGTGTGGCGGGGTGGGGGACAACACAATGGGCGAGTTAACCTGGAGCCCTTTCTTTCTGATCGCCAACCTGTAAACATCGCTTGTGCTAGAGAAAGAAACGCAATTCGATTTTTGATCAAGTAAGACCTAGAGATCATGTTGAACAAAATCATCAGCAGGAGAAATACAAAAAGGAATAAACAGAACACCAAACTCAAAGATTCGGCCTACTTTATTATTTCCCTTGAATTTATTACGGGATCCCTTATGACGAAAATTTTGCTATAACCGGTAGTTCCAACCAGTCCCCTCCCTCTCGTTGTAAACAGTATTTCACTGTATGTAGCGGAGCAGTCCACAGAGTGGAACTCTTTCCTGAACGTTAACTTTGTTGACTACGAGAAAGCTTTTAACAGCCTAGATAGGGACTCAATATGGAAGCTCATGCGCCACTACGGAATACCTGACAAGTTCGGGAGATTGATCAAGAAGATGTACGAGGGAATGAGCTGCAGTGTCTTACCTGGAGGGCAGCGGACAGACTCATTTGAAGTGAATACAGGAGTGAGACAGGGATGCCTGCTATCGCCTTTTCTCTTTTTATTAGCAGTGGATTGGACAATGAGACAGACGACATCGGGACAACGCGGTGGCATACAGTGGACCCTTGCCAGTCAGTTGGAAGACTTGGACTTTGCTGACAGCTTGGCTATTCTTTGTCACAGTCGAGCCCAGATGTAACAGAAGACAGATCGCCTCAGGACCTTCTCCCGTTATGTCGGACTCCATATTCACACAGATAAAGAGAAAGTTCTTGGAACGAATGCAGCCGACGTTGCTATCACACTGCAAGGGGCACCATTGGCGGATGTTGAATCCTTCACCAACCTGGGAAGTGTCATCAACAAGGCAGGGGGAACAGACGAAGACATCAAGGTCAGAATCCAAAAGGCAAGAGCGGCATTCATCATCCTCGGGAATATATGGATGTCTAAGGAACTGGGATTGAACACCAAACTGAGGATCTTCCAAACAAACGTGAAGACTGTTCTACTGTATGGTTCAGAGACATGGAGGCTCACAGTATCAGCAGCAAGGAAACTGCAGAGCTTCGTAAATGTATGTCTAC